TTTTTTTAATTTAATAATTGAATTTAATTTTATAAAGTAGAATATTTAAGTTTTTAATTAGATTTTTTTTTAAATAATTAAAATAAATTTTTGGAAATATTTGCTAGAATTAAGAGTTATTATTGATTTAAAATTTATCTTATTGATAATTGATGTATTATTTTTTAAAATTCTCATTTCTTTTATTTGATATTTATTTTTATAAATTTTCTTCTGTTTGATTGGTAAATAAATTTCAATTTTAATTTGTTGATAGCTTTGTTTAATTTTTAAAACTTTTTTTATAATTTAGATTACTATTTATTTTGTTTTAATATTTTTAAACGCAATTTCTTTTGGTATCAATTAAAATTATTAGGAAGAAATAATGACGAATCAGATTTTAGTAATTTTAACAAACCATATTCGTGTTATAATATGTGACGTAAATTAATATTTTAGCGCCATCTTTGGAAATTAAATTGCATTATTTTGAAATTATTACTAAAATATTAAAATTTTTAATAATAACGAAACAAAATAATTATATAAAATTTTATTATTTTTTTTATATAAAAAATATTAACTGATATTAAAATTTAATTACTTTTATCTCTAATTATTTATAATTACTATTGTTATTATTCAAACTTATAAATCGATTAATAACTGATATGTTGAAATAACGAGATTTAATAGTATTAAAATCTTATTTATTCGTCAAGCCTGATTAGTGAACATGATTAGATATATATTTACAATTTTCACTAAATAAATTTTAATTTTATAATTACTTAATTGAGTCCAGTTCTATTAAAATCAAAGCCGATTTATACCCAACCGGGAATCGGTCACGGACGTTTCTGGTACAACTCATTTGGGACCTTTGTAAATAGATTTTATTAGAACAGATTAAAATATTTATTACATCTGCACAAACAGAAGTTTATTTTAACTATTAACTTATTTATTCTATTTATTTTTACTGACCGAATCAATGAGAGCAATAATTTTCAGGGATATTACAGTATATAAATATAAATTTTTCGTTAAGATTTTCTTTTAATTTCCTAAAATTTTAAAATGTAATCAAGGATATTGCCATTTTTTTTCTGTTCTTAAAATGGTAAAATGTTGAATAAGCAGTTAAAAGTTTATTTAAAATGGCAAACCAACTTTTTAAACAGGAAGTTAGAAGTCGCCATTATCATCTTTCAAACCAAAGACATTATATATGTTTCTTTCAATAAGATAAATGCTTATTCTCTTTGTCTTGAATCATTTTTCTATTTGAAATATAATAAAATTTGCGGAAATAATAATATATAATCATTGTGAATGAACATGAGAATTTACAATAAGTTCATAATTCAGCCATTGATTTAAGTTGATAAATATGAATTCTCATCTATTCAGACTCCAAATCTTAAGCCTGTATTCTTTCATCCAACGATTCTTACCTGTATTAATATAATAAGGAAGACTTAACGTCGATTAATTAACGATATCAAAAATTTTAACTTAAATTAGTTATCAAAATAAGTGTTGAGAATATTACATACGTTTAATAAATGAATTTTTTAAATTAAAATTTTGATTTTATAGTAATATCTTGAATTTTATTACTATATAATANAATAATAATAATAATAATAAAAAATTCAGTATTAAAATATGATTTTATTGACAGAATAATATGCTTATATACTCTAAGCCAGAGAATTATTTCCGACATTTCAGGGCATATAAATATATATATATTTATAAACATTTTAATTTCAATACAAACATATATATTGATATACATTAATGTTTCCTGCTTGTATGCATGAGATGTTCGTATTTTTTAAATGTTTTATTATTTTGTTTTATAAAGCTGAGTCTATAAATTTATCTATACATATAACTATATAATGTAGTACTGTACATATAACAAAGAAGGCAGAAAGTTTTCTAAATTCTGTCAACAACATCATATTTTAATACTGAATTTATTTCAGTGCACAAATCATTAATTATTTATTCAATTTTATTGCTAATTATCACTTCTCTAATTTTATTTTTATGGCTGTCAGATGATCGAGATAGTTAAGGCATAGTCCTTCCACTCCGGAGGACCCGGGATCGAATCCAGGCGGTTAGAAAACCTCGTGAATTTTCCAGGGGTGGTCTGTCCCGGATATATCGAATCCTAGGTTCTCACCACCCCCGCCACCGCGTTGTAAGTCAGGCAAAATCTACGATGGGTAAGAAAAATGCTTTTTTAGTATCAACAGGATGGAGAGTTTAAAAAGTCTAAAAATTTGTTATTTATTATTAATTTTTAAACAGTAACGCCATATGGGTTTGGCCAAGTATACAATAGGATGGCCGGTTGGTGAAGGATGAGGCCCGATGAATCTGGGACTGATCACTCATGAGAAATATTCTGGATTTTTCGATCCGTCCAGATTTCGGATTTCCCAGAACGGTAGGTTGACGTCTTAAAAAGCTTTGCTATTCGGCCATATAATCTCTCTCTTATGCTATTCAAAACCTTCTGTTTTATTTTATTTATTACATCTCGACAACTTTGAATTGTATATATTAGTAGTTACTCTTATATAGAATTTAAATTGTATTCGAGAATTAAACAAAGAACTAACCAATTGCTCTTTAATTAAATACAATCAATAGCGGAAAGGATTAAAACCAACGACATTGTTACTGAAGCGTAGTAAAGTGTGCTTTGATAACAGATTAGATTGGAATAACTAAATTTGTCAACTATTCAGTATTTTTTGAAAATGCCCACAACTTTCTGATTTCAATAATATAGATATGTTTATCGGCTAGGATTTTCGTTCCATAAAATAAATGCTTCTATTAATTTTAGATGGTTGGACAAAATCACTCAGCACCTGAGGCTTGAAAACGTGATTGTGTCGGGGTCAACCGGAAGCTCAGAGGCGGAGAATGATCTATTCAGTATTATGTTTAAAGATCTACTGAGACATTTATAGTTTTTACAAACGGATTCAGCAGCTGCTGCACACCGCAGAATCCCTAGAGGGCAGCCGCTTCATCTTCATCTGAGCCTAGCCGAACCCACAATGGGATTGATTAAACAAGCCTCTTAGTGCCCACAGACCGAGAGAGTTCAAAAAGAAGAAGAAGAAGAAAACATTTACTTAAACACCAGGCGGTGCATTTCGGAGAAGAGAGCCAACATGGCTGAAGTCTCCATATAAACCATGGGAAAGAAAAAGAAAGAAAGAAGTAAAACGTTATTCCAGGAAGGAAAGCCGAAGCCGAGTTTCTGCGGCTATTCGTCTGACAAATACTTCCATATTCTAGTGCAGGGGCATATCCAGATGGTGCTTCTAGTGCTGCAGAACCTCTTTGATACCAAAGTAATCAGCATTGTTACTTTAAAATGAAAATAAATATAATAATGCATATCCCATGACTTCTATTAAGTAAGATTCGACAACTAATGTCATTCTAAGGTAATTAAGTAATATTTTCCGAAAAACAACAGTGGGCATTTGCCTTACTCTTACGAATCTTCTTAAGTAGCATCCATATTCTCAAAATTCTGGATACACCACTGTTCTTGTGTCGAGAAATAATACATAGAAGTTATATAAAATTAAGGTCCTCTTTTAGGGAGGACAGTCTTCCTTTTGTAAGTTCTGTCCTCCCTCAAAAAGTGTCCTCCTACATGTCCTCCTTTTTGATATTTGAAGACTAATCTGTAAATCTCCGTATTCGATCAATGCCGAACCGATCCGTTGCGTGTGATGTGATATGACGTGTTTGTATTTAACATGACGATTCATCAAGGCTCTGTACAGTGCGACGAGATGCAATTATGAGACGCATGCTCTTCGCACGGGAGACCTTGAGAAAGAGAGAGAGAGAGAGAGCGCGCGCAAATGCTTTGTTTACTTCTTATTGAAACAAAACAGCACCTATGCATGCAGTAGAGATTATTATAGTGTATTATTGTTGCAATGAATAAAATGTTTTTTATTTACGATATTTTTTCCTTCAATTTATTAGTGTCCTGCTTTTCATTGTAAAAAAGTTGGTCACCTTAATAAAATATATTTTCTACAGGAAAAATTTTTATCCAAAATTTAAAAATTTTAAAAATGTTTTATCTATTTTTAGCGTTAGGTGGCGCAGAGAAACTTTATTTTCACAGGAAGAATCACGTGTAAAACGAAAGATGCCGGATAAACCTAACATTAAAGAAGTAATTAAGGAATTTTCGTCATTAACAAAAAATCTAGATCAGTATTTAAGGTATATTATTTACAATATATTATAATGTTAAATTTAAGTATAGCTTCATTGACACATGCAAGTATTTGAGCGTGATGGTTGCAATTTTCACGATGGTGAACATGAAAATTTCTATTCTGAGAGTTTTTATTATAATGGATACGTGAAACAGTTTAAATTGTTGAATTTAAACATTTTAAAGCGTGTATAACGTGACAGACTTTCTGAAACTCCAAAAAGAAATACTTGAAATGACAAATGTTAAGTTTTTAAGTTAATCAACAGAATAAGTATTTTTGGTATTTTTTTATCCATATTCCATAAAATTATTTACATTTATATCTAGCATTGTTTTCAATGTACTATTTGTATTTATGAAATACATATTTGATCCACTATAATCAATACTTTTTCCATGTTATGAGTTGATCACAAAAAATGCAAGCTGAATTTGCTTTCATTTTAAATATTATCAACTTATTACAAAAATAATCATTACAGTTATCTTTGATACATTTAACATTTTATTATTTATTCTAAAACTATGGGTACTTATGGGTTAAGAGGACGCCAGTCGGAAATAGCATTTTTTCCGAATAATGCAATTTTTTATTTGTCAAATTTAATAAAATTGTTAAATCAAACAATAAATTACGATTTATAAAGATATAACAAAATTTCACCACTGTAATAATAAACCACTTGAATATGCAAATTGTTTTGTAGTGTATATGGCAAATAGGCAATATCTATCATCTTAATTGATTTTTTTTCATTTTTACAACCTTATCAGTAAATTTTCTTCTTTTTAGATTTAAATTTACTAGTCTATTGTTATTTTGATATTTTCATTCAAAATTGCGACTTTGATCGCTATTTTCGACTGTCATCCTCTTAAACCATAAGTATCGAAATGAACAAAAATACATTATGAGAATCCAAATAAAATGTTCAGATATTTTGAATATAATATAAAATAAATAAAAAGACATACAGATTATTAACAGTAATAAATTAAATTAAAATAAAATGAGGTGATGTTATCATCTTGTGGAGTACCACTGTGGAGTCCCATTAATGGGACTCTATGATGGTTAGTTAGAGTGTTAGCTACTTCCAAGATATTGCTAAGCTGCCAGAGTCTCTGTGATTGATTACATTAATTGCTAAGCTTTTCTCATACATCCACATGGTAGTAAGGTGGTTGGTTCCAGATCAAAGATGCTCAACCAACCTGTCCCATATGGTGTTAAAGTCTCTGTCCAACAGCATTTATTCCAGGGTGGTAGTGTCCATATCCATTTCTGTATCTCTCTGATGTTCAGAAATACAGTATGTTCCTATCTTTTTCTGTCGTGGATCAGAATTTGATATACTCTGCTTATTTCCAAATGTCTTTTCTTTATCATTCTGTAGAGTGTTAAAAATGGAGACATTCCATTTCCAATGTTCTATTATTCATTTTTGCTATTCTTTACATTAATTTTATGGGTAGATTTTCCAAGATGTGAAAGGCAAACCTCAGATCCAGTTTCGTAGAAGGTCTTGGTAGGGAATATATTTATAGTTATCTTAGTTTCAATCCATGATGATAAGTTTAGAAGGTATGCTGTGCAAAAAAATGAATTTTTTTAAATTATGATCTGAGAGCATTCCAGTAGAGCATGGAAGGAAAGCTATCTGTTAGCTTTGATGAAACACAAAAAAACAATTTTCCTAGTCAGCAGAGATACACAGGATGTAGCTATGTTGATAAGTTGTCTTCCAATATACAGTGATTTTATATTTATCAAGAAAATAGACCTCATATTGGTTTGTCTGGTCTCTACAAGTTTTATCCCCAATGAGTTATCAGATAAGTTGTTGTTGAGGTCTTTTGCTTTACTTCCCCCTTTCCAAATTATCAGGATATCATCTATTTTTGTAAAGTTTACTATGTGCCTTAAGATGATGTAAGGCTTTCTCTCAGCTTTCTGTCAATCTTGGCAACTGTACCAGTGGGGGGAGCCCATGGGTAGACCTATATTTTGTCTAGAATTTCCTGTTAAATGTAAAACATGCTTGCTATACAATTTATTATATGTAGCATTTCATAGATGTCCATAAAGAACATTCTTTTAAAGGTACCAATTGCTAAAGGTTTTTGTCTTGTGTAGAGGAAAGCAGGTTCAGTTTGTAGTGATGGATATAATTTTTTGAAGTCAGATGTTTCTAGTCAATCTTCCAAGACCAAAGTGACCAAAGGAGACATCTTTGGTCATCTCAAATCATTTCTGGTTGTTGTTAATTGTGTGTTTGTTATATTTATAAACGTTTGTTAATTGTGTAATTGAAAGGCATCATGTTATTTTTCAGCATACAATGCAAGATTCATTCCAACTTGAACATTTCTGCATGATGGGGTAGATATCCCAATCAACTTTGTGGGTTTTGTGAATGGTTGTCTCTTTAATCCGATGTATTCTTTCGGTAGACTATCTTACAGCATCAGGTTAATGAATTCTTTTATTATAATTAACATATGCTTTTGGAACTGGAAATATGAAACCAGTTCGAAATGCATATGTAAAAATATAATAAAAGAATTCATTAACTTGATGCTGTAAGATAGTTTACTGAAAGAATACATTGGATTAAAGAGACAACCATTCACAAACGAATATACAGCTATAACCAGTAAATTTGTGGGTTTTATTTAATGTATTCAGAAATTATGGATACTGAACAAGTATTAAGTAAAACTGAGTTTCTAATGGGAGGGAGGACATGTTTCTTCTTTCATAAGTTCTTCAGTGAATGGGAAATATATGTTGAGTGTTTAGGTAATATTTAATACTTGGTGTTTATTATGTGCTCCATGAGTTTGTTAGAGTATTCATCCCTGTGTATAATAGTAAGTTCTTTTGATTTTTCTATTATTCTCTATGATTTGAATGTTACAGATGTTATTGTATATTCCGTACTAGCAAACACAGCTGTATGCTTCTAATTTGTCTAAGCACACTCTTTAATGATTCTAAAGATATAGTGCATGATTTATACTGTATTTTGAAAAACTTGCAAAAACATTAATGATCACATTTTTGCACAAAATTAACATTCATAATGATTCATGTGCATATAATAATTATTTTCTGGACATATATTGTATTCATATGATTTACAAAAGCTACACATACTCAATATGAGAAACCTGTTTTTAGGTCATTGTCTTTCATATTTGCCTGTGGGAAAGAAAATATATTAGTTATACATGCTGGTTAGCAGAACATAATGTGGAATGTGTATAGTTTACCAAATTACAGTTAGATGGTGCATTCCAAATTTTCAGATGCTGCATTAACAAACTTCTGTATAGTAAAAACATGATTGACTAAATGTTTACATTTGATATCTTTGAAAACTGAAAATTTAATATTAAACACTTTTGTGAGAATACTTTCAAAGAGAGAGAAGAATCACTGAGATCAAGGAAGAAATTAACAGATTATTTGTAAATATATAACAAATTTAATAAGAATGGTAAAATAAATTGCAAAATGTATATTTAGTGTACAGTAATACCTTGACTTATGCTACCCCGACTTACGCGAACCCGGAGTTACGCGATTTTCAAATCTCGTCGATTCGTCTTTTGTTTGAGCGCCACGCAACTCTTGATTACTCACTCCCCCCACACTATTGTTCAGCTTACATGTTCGGATGTGTCGCACAGAATCGACACATAGCTATAATTTATTTTGTGTAATTTTTTCTGTGTTCGTTATATCTACGGAGACTTGAGAGATAATATGTGGTGATTTCTTGTAACCGTGAACGAGTCAAAAGACGAGATAAGATTAATGAGAACATTTATTAGCTTACGTACATCCGATTTGGATTTTACACAAATTGCGAAATTATACCCCGACTTACGCGAATTTGACTTACGCGATTATCACTCGGTCCCACCTATCGCGTAAGTTCAGGGTATTACTGTATATAATAATAGCTTTTAACACAAATAAATTCTTGAAATATTATTATACAATTTTGATTATTACATTTATTATGATTTCTACTAATTTATTCCTATAGGATTTTTTTAATTTGAAAGGAGAACTATCAAGAGTTTGGAAGTTTGTATTGATTATGAAAAGTTATTTCTGTGTAACTCCCAAAATAAACATTACTAAATAATAATTTTTATAATGATAACAAATTGTTTATCAGCGATTGTTAATTATAATTGTATCCTAATTATATTTAGAGTATTTTAAACATATTGAAAAAAATACTAAAGTAGTTTTGATTTTTGTTTTCAGTTCTCAAGCACAGCATTCTGTAAACTTCAGGAAAGTTGCAAAAACTTTATATGATCTTGGAAAATGTTCAGAACCTGTAACAAAACATGTTATTAAATCTGCTTTACAAAGATTAGTAATAAAAGATTTTGATGAGGAGCAGATCTGGCAACAAATTGAATTACAAAATAAGCCATTTCTTAGTCATTTATCAAAGAATATTTCAATATTGTCTAAGTCTCATACTGCTATTAAATTAAGAAATATACCACATGAAACCACTGAAAAGAAAGAAAAATTATTAAATAAACTTGGAAAAGAAAAGGTGAAAAGTAGAAGTTCAAAGAAAAATGAAATTAAGAAAGTTAGATTTTTGCCATCATTATCAACATCTATTGTTGATGATAAGTTCTTTAAATTATCAGAACTTGAAGAATTTTTAAATAGCGAAGATTTAAAAGAATCTAAAGAACAGAGTGATGATGATTCATCAGATGAAGATTTTATTGATTACTTTGAAGATATCTCATCAGATAGTGATGATGAAATAGTAATTATTTTTGTAATGTTAATAATAATAATTCTTTATTTTTTAATTTAATTTATATTATTTAATCTCATGTTTCATATGCAAATTTTTTTTAAAATGTGAATATAAATAAATTCTATTTAAAAATTATTTTTATATAGCAATTACTGCAGATAAAATAGCATTTAATATAATTATAAAACTTCCTTTTAATAATAGCATTGCATTGGAAAATTATTATCGATTATATTCAATATAAATTATTATTGAATAATCTCATAAATAATTGAATAATAATATCATAACTATAACTGAATGAAAATCATTATTGCAAACAAAGATTGCTAATTGTTATTTTTTATCCAAATTATATTAATATTTCAATTATAATTTGTATACAATAATTTATTTTTGAAATTTTCTTTTATTAAAATTAATGTTCAAATTTTTTAGCTTTGACTTACGAAATTAGGTGAAAAAGTAAAATAAGAAATGTTTATGTTCACATGCAATAAAATTCGTGTAAATATAGTCATTCAGTTGAAAAGTTTAATTTATACAAATTGCAAAACTTAATACTTTTCAGTTAAAAATATGCAAATTTCATTAAATTCCTGTTTATGTAAATAATTTAACTAATTAAAAAAGTGTGTTATATTCAAAGTACAGTGCATAAATTAGTTACTTTGAGTAAAATATAAAGAATAGAAATTTATATTTTAATTTATTTATACATTCTCCCTTGATAAAGGAAACATTTTTTAAGTTAATAAAGAATTGATTGATATAAAATTATATAAAATGATATTTGTATAATTTTTTCAAATTAAAAGTTGCTCAAAATTTGTTCTATATTACTTTTTTTTTATATGTTCTTGTATTATTTCCTTGATAGAATATTGTTTTGTATTTGTTTTCTTTTTTCCTATAAAGTATTATGCATTGAAATAATAAATTTTGAGTTTTATCTCAAAACTTTCTTAATTATTTTAATAACAATTTTTAACATTATAACTTATTTTGTATCCTTAATTTCTGAAAAGAATATTTTAATTTTAAGTCAGCTCGAAATGCTACATATAAAGATTTCTTTGATATGCCAAATAATGAAGATATTCAAGAAGAGGATAAAACTGAAGATTTTCAAATAGAGCATGATAATGCAGAGGAATATGACACTGATGAAGCCCAGGAACAGGATGATAATCCAGAAGAAGAAGATGATGATGATGATATGCCATCAGAATCTGATCAAGAAGAATCTGAAGGAGAAGAATTGGAAAATAATGAGTTAGTTAAATTTAAAACATTATTATTATTAAATATTTTATAATTTTTATGTTAAAAATTAGTTAAAATACTTATGTGTATATTAAATGATATATAATATACAAGTTAATAAATATATTTATATTTGCATAACAGCATACATGATAACACGAACAACCCAGGATATCTTCAATTAAAAATTGAATTGTGACTATTTACAAAAAAATTATAAAATTTTTTTTGAGTCTATCTTTCATCCTTTTTAACACACCACAAAAAAAAATTATAATTTTTTTGTAAATAGTCACAATTCAATTTTTAATATTTATATTTTTTTAGAATACAAAATACAGATAAGAAATGCCAACATTAGTATGGTTAACTTGAACAAAATAATAATAAGCATTTTCTGATATAGAAGAAAATATTTTAAAAGTAAATACAATCATTCTTGCTATGAAATAAAAATCACTGTTTATTTAAATAGAAATATTGATATAAATCTATTTTATTATAAGTTTTTAATCACGCGAAAGACAACTTCAAGAAGTTTGAATTAATTTAAAAAGAAAAAAATTAGATTAGCTAATCATATGTGGAGTTACGGGGTTTATATCTCAATGGAGAGCAGTTTTTGGTTTCACTTTTGTAGTTTTTCTTGGGTTTTGGCCAAAATGTGGTTAACTTGTATGGCTAGCAAGATGTGTTGCAAGGACCCAGAAGAATGCTCATCTACACCATCTGTTAAAATGAACAAATGATTTTAATGTTGGTGAACATTTCTGGTTACAGAAAGTATTAATGAACAGTAAAATTTTATGCATTTATGGTAATTAGAAACAGTCTTGTGAGGTGAAGCACCTTGGTGATGTTACATGTCTCTCTGTTCCTTGATCTTTTTAAAATCTACAGTTCCCATTTTACCAATTGATTTTTTGGTAGTACAGTAGAGCATCGATTATCTGAATCAATTGGGGACTGGAGTTGTTTGGAAAATCGATTTTCCAGATAACCAATTATGTACGAAAAAATACATTATTAATATAGTATATCAGTATAGTCCAAGAATAGTATATTAATATATCCCATGTTTAAATTTTTCTCCATTGTGTTTTGCTTTGCATTGAATTTTCATCAGTGTTAAGCCTAATAAAAATTTTTATAATTGTGGCTATTGTATGATTAAAAATTATTTCTTTATTTTGTACAAACAAAATAAATATATTGAAAAATATAAAAACAAAAATATTCTGTTTAAAAAGTTAATCTAGTATCAAAAACATTCGATTCAGCACGACACAGTCCAACTGGAACGCTTTCGGTTAACCAACATTTTGGTTGATTGACATTTGGCTAATCGATGCTCTACTGCACATAAAACTGGTGGATATAAAGCAACTTCCTAATGTGAAGTGTTCGATCTCTGTCCATGTTGAACACTTTACTCACAGAACCCTTCTTTGATTTGTTGATTTCTATGGGAAATTGAATAGAACTGGCACATCACCTGAAGCTAGTGGACATCCAATAGCTTGGGACATCTCGGAACTATATAATAGGTGACATCCAATAGCTTGGGACATCTCGGAACTATATAATAGGTGACATCCAATAGCTTGGGACATCTCGGAACTGGTAAAACTTGATTATCTTTGCAGCCTGGGTTGCAAGAATTTGATGTTTTACCTTTGTGCCTTTTTGGTACTATTGCATTTAGATTTTGTTTGTTTTGGACTTTAGGACTGCTGTTAATGAAGGAAATTAAGGATTTCATTATAGTTTTTGTTAATTATGGGATCCAATTTACATACATATGAAATAGTTATGATATAATTTATTCTTTAATAATAATGTTTTTCATAACAATATAATACTGTCTGATGTATTTTATTCCATAATAAGAGTGAAATATATCAGTCAAATTATAACTTAACAAAAATGTAACAATTTAAGTAAATAACTGTCTAATTTTAATAAATAAGAACTGAATAGACTTATTGTTAGCAAAGTTAAGTCAGTTTTATGATATCCAGTGCATTAATAGACATTTTGTCAAGAAGATATTGTAAAAAGGTATTAAAAATCAAATTTGTAATGTTTTCATTTCAAATCTAACAGTTGATAAGTAGATAATTATATTTAACTAATTATATACTCATTAAGTATATTTAAGATCTGTATCTTAAATATACGTAATTGGGCAGCAATTTGAAAAAATTGTAAACCTATAAATTTCCACTGTTGTCTCTGTCTTCATTATTTTAAGTAAATTGTATGACTCCATGGTTTACAATTAACTAAAAAATTTTACTTTATACATATATAGGAGTCAGTAAATGGTTTTTTTCTTGGATTAATGTGTTCAGAATCTACAATTACATCTAGAGATATGTTACTTTCTGATAAATTGATACTGTAACAATGATCTAATATATTGATGCAAATGGATATTAGAATGTTAATTGTGAATGCTATCAGTTATAGTTGGGTTTATAATTTTAAAGTTTTTTCATGTTAAATAAAATCAGATGATTTATCAAATTATTATATGAATCATTAAGTATGAAAACATAATTATCCTTATCACTACACATTAATAACATTAAAATGTTTGCTAAATAAGATAATTTTGGATATATTGATATATTTTTCTATAATAATATTCTAATAAGATAAAACAACTCATATTTGCTGTATTAAAAAACTTTTTTAAAATTAATTATCCTAATATAATTTTATTTAATACTAGAATAAAAATATAATTATTAATGTTATTAATAATAGTATAATTAGTACAAATTAATTCAATATCTTCTACATTCCAACAAAAACAAGATTTAATCAAAACACAAATGTTTTCATCCTTCTTTGCTAGGTCTTCTTTAGGTTACAGTCTTGTGGAGTGTGTTCAAAAGATTGTGACCTGAAGAAGGCCTATTGAATAAGGCCAAAAACATGTGTTTTGATTAAATCTTGTTTTTACTGGAATATAGAAAGTATTAAGTTAATTTGTCCTATGATTCCAGTTTTTTTGTATATATACTAGTATAATTAGTAGTTAATAATACAGTAGAATCTCATTTTAATGGATCACTCAGACCATCAAAATTCATCTATTGTTTTGAGAACCAATTACATTGTGAATAACATATTTCTTGTCCATCCAGGAAATTATTCATTATTTAACCCTCTATGTATAAGAAATACCTGTACTTGAATTGTTCAATCTCTTGAAGTCTCTATTTTATAGAAAAATGTATGTTACAAGATTGTATATTATACCATACATGTGTGTATGACAAAGCTGACAGAAACTGTATATACTGTAGTGATGTGCCGGATATCCGAGGGAAAAAAAGATCTGTATCTGTTACTTTTTAGCTGATTTTTAACGGATCTTTTATCTTAATGAATTTCATTACTTACATGAAATTTTAAAGATAGGTAGCAATAAAATCCTAATAACTTCAATTCAAATCACTTTTTATTTCTTAAAATCATATATTTGGCACATTCATATTGCAAAAATTTTATCATTCAAAATTCATTTACTATCGTAAAATATTTCCATATTACACTACTAAACTTTTTTGTCGACATTGTTTTTATTTTAATTTAACTCAACCCTCTCCAAAGATACAAATGTAATCTATGCTACCCCGTGTCACACTAAACTATAAACAAAAACACGCACAGTATAAGTCAAAACATGTCGCATTACTAACGCAAAACGTCAACTATCAGTCCAAGGTCACAAGCACAGGCGCCGATTGAGTACAAAAGTTGAGATCCATATCCATATCCGCAGATCTAGACACTAATGATCCGTATCTGTATCCGCGGATATACATTTTTAATGATCTGGCACATAACTAATATACTGTAAGCACAAAAAGAAGCAAATTAGGCTATTTAGGCTCATTAGTACTTCACTTGACTTTGATTTGTAAAAAACTTGTTTATCTTGGTTTGTTGCTATTTTGATGCTGATTTTCTATCTATTGAATACAACAACCACTTGATATTAGCAATGTCATGTACTGTACTGTACAATACAGCCTGTTCATTTATGCTGAAACTCACCAGGAGGATCTTCAAACTTGGAAAGACTTGATGGCTTTGCTAAATTTTGGCACTACACTTGGACCAATGTCTGAATGTTCACCAGATGGCTCTTCCTTAATTGTATCTGCCTGCCAACTCTCTTTGAACAAATCTTCAATGTACATATGCCAGATGTAACAAGTGCATCATTGAACTCTACAAATTCCCAGAAACATCCAAATATTAACTAACTGCTGAAAAAAAAAAATGCAAAGTTTACAATAGATGGGGCTAGAAAAAAAATCCATTATTCTGAGTTACAGATCCACTAAAAGGAGGTAAAATTACATTGATTTAGTGGGACCTAGTGAAAAAATCTGTTTTTCTGAGAAATCCATTGTTCTGCGATCTGTTAAAACAAGTTTCTACTGTAATAAATAAAATTGTTTAATATTAGAATAAAATTATTTTTTTTAACTAAGTTCTACCAATTTGATTAGCTTTTCTTGTGACATGATCAATTAATAGAATTACATTTAATTAATTAAATATAATGTATAACAATTTAATTTCAAAATGTTTGCTAGTATGTATGATACAAGAGATGTGGATGATGAAGAAATGAATGATATAAAAGAAAGTAAAATAGAATCTGTAATATCAGATGAAAGTGATAATGAAGATGAAAAAGATGAACCTGACTTAACAGTTAAATCAACTTATCAGAAAGAACATGAAAAGGTAAATATTTTTTATTGATATTTTGATAGTTATTTTTTGAAAGTATTCAAGCATTATATGATTAATTGGTTAATACAAAAAATTGTTGATTAAATGAAAATATGTAAAAATAAACTTTAAAAACTATCAAATGATTATTTGAAGACAATAAATGAAACTCACATCAATAATTTAAACAGTTGCATAACAATACCCAAGAAATGAATATCATTTTCATAAGTCAGTAGCTGCATATTTCTTAAACATATAAATTGATAAAGTAAAAGTAGTTTATTTAAATAACATCTTTATTAATTACAAAATGATTAAGTCAATACACTTTGTCCATCTGTCAACAAGCTTTTATATTCCCTCATTAAAGATTTTGGCTGAGCTGTGAGCCACAAATGCATTGCTCTTCACTTCTTCATCAGACATGAGTCTCCATCCTTGTAGGTCTTCTTTAAGGTAACCAAACAGGTGATAGTCTGATTAAGTGAGATCAGGATTACAGGGAAGATGATCCAACACTTCACAATGAAGTTTCTGTAGAGTATTGACAGTGTGGGCAGTGGCATGTGGATGTGCATTATCATGCAACAATAGAACAGTCATCTGCATTTTGTCTGAATTGCAGGTGTCAGTTCTTCAGTGAACATCTCACTGTAATAAGCACTGTTGATTGTTGAACTTTTTTCTTAATAATGTTTCAATACTGGCCTTTGAGAATCCCAGAAAACTGTAAGCATCAATTTTCCAGCTGATGGTTGACTTTTGAACTTTTTCTTTGTCAGTGATTGAGGATGTTTCCATTTCATATACAGGTAACCCCCGTATAACACGGCACTTCTATAGCACGGATTCACTCTAACACGGTTCAAGAATTGGTACCATCCCCCGTATAACACGGTACTTTT